AGCTTTACTCCAGTACCAACCCTTAATGACTTTTGATGTGAATTGGTATAAATAGGACTCAAAACACAAAAGAGACCCCCTGAAGCTCTTGGTACTTATTACTGCTGCCCACTAATTGGATTTTTCCATTTCCAGTCCTTGTATGAGCACTAAAAAACGTTAATCTGGGACAAAACATGGTTAATATGGTGTTTTAAAAGCCAGACTATGATTAATGGCGTAAAGAAACTAAAATAAATAAATTAGTTATATATTAGACACTTTGTTCAGCCATTTTTGTCGTTGGGACAAAACCTAACATTTTCCCATAGCATCTGATTTGGGTGGACGGTTCATAAATCTTTGACCATCATCCAGTCCTGTGTTGAGATTGTCATTGAAGGTTAATTTTGTGTCTAATGTAACAATTTTTATTAGTTATCGATTAATCTATTTAGTATTTTTGACAATTAATCACCTATTCTAACGATTAATCGCCTATTCTGTCAATTAATTGGATAAAAAGGGCAACCTTCTGCAGATTTTTCATTTAACCCTTTTCTATACATTAACAATACATTTAAAGATTAAATTAAACAAATCACTTCCATCTTTAAAAAGCATCTTATTGACTAAAATGTAACAGTATCCCTTTAGTGAAAAGCAAAGAATGAGTCTTTGCTATCTTGTTTTCACATCAACATGTGAAAAGCTCAGCCGTTTCTGTTTGACTTAACCTTCATACACCGCAGGGATGGCATGTTTGTTTTTTGGATTAACAGTTTCATAACTGGATAGCAAAAGGTGCTTAAAATGATTTATTTATTTTATTTTTTTAGAGGATTTGAACAAGGAGAAGCTTAAAGTACCAATTGACATGTTCTGGCTAAAACATATTTACAGATGAATAAGACATTTCTATCTTAAATGCAAAATATTGTACAGTTTTGTTTTATTACTGCCCTGAGTGTGTTGTTTCAGAAAATTGCCTTCTGTTGAGTCTTTGCACTCATGTTAACAATCTACTACTAAGCTACTTGATTAAAAACGAATATAAAAAATGTTTATTATTCCAATCTCTCTTTGATGCAGTAAAGGCTCCTGTACTGTAAGTAATGGCTTAACTTGTTTTTCCGAGCCGCCTTTAAACGCAACATGAGCATTGAGATGCTGGAGTCGGTTCTTCACCCGGGGCGTCAACGGAGACCTGATGCTGTACAAACGTGTGTCAGAATCCAGGAAAAGCCAAAAACTTTGTACAATTTCTCCCAAACAAGCTGGAACGATGCTGCTGGATGCAGACGGCGTTGGCTAAAAGAGGACTAGTTAAAACGCGCCACTGCATTTCACTAATCTGGTAAATGTGTTGTGCAGAGGTGGATAGTTCTGACTAGAAGTACTTGGGAAACTTTTATTTGTTGCTTTATTTATTTTGAACATTTAAAAAGTCTGACGGTGTTAAGTGTTCATTAGAATTTAAACTTTATTGGTCTTTGAGAAAGCATTCTTGCGTTACTGTTACATTACTTTAAAATGGTCTCAAAACAATACAAGGTTCCCCCAGAAAACTTGCTAATCACTCCAAGGTGACACTAAAATGGATCCCTTCCCATCTCTTTTAGATGGCTATCTCCAAGGTTAAGATGATCATGATATGTTCTGTTTTATTTCCACTTTTGAAGAGACGCACTAAAACAAAGAAGCAAGAAATAATGTTATACTAATCAAAAGAGCAAGTAAAACATGTAAAGTATTTATTTTACAGGAATATTCTGATGTTTTTTTGATGCATTTTGACCAATAGATGTGGACGCAGCTTTCTGACCAATGTTTCACTTCTTGGGAGTAAAGTGTTAGTTCCCTTTAGTAAATCTCACGTGTGTGTGTCCATTCCAACACGTCTCCAGCTGCAGGAATCTCCTCTGTCGGGCGTTAATCCGGAGTGACTTTCAGCCGCTCTGTGCTCCGTGTCTGCAGGGAATCTGTGTTGAACAAAGCAGGAATGTCAGAGGCCTTAGCAGAAGACCTGAGCTGTGACCTTCTTTCATTTAATGTGCGCATACTTTTCAGTAAATCTAGATTATTGTCCCCCTCCCGTCTGGAATCTGTAGATTCAGGAAACTCTGATCACACCGTTTGCATGTACAGGCAGCATAATGCAGGAAGCGGACTACAGCGCAGGGCATTCTGGGTAAATGCAACCAAAAACAAATGTGCAAGTCTTGCGCTAAAAGACAAAAGAGAAATCCTACAACCGCTAACAGATTATGCTGCTCCATTTTTATTTGCATTTCATGAATAAGGAAGATGTGCTCAGTGTCGTCTGAGTTTTTCGTGTTGTTTCCTTCAGTGGTTTGAAGTGCAGCGCCCCCGCAGGCCTGGAGGGGAACATGTTCTTCAAATAGTTTGGTTCAGTTGACAGTGCAGTCTGAAAGAGAACCACAACAGCTGAAAAAATGAACAAGTGTTGCAATTTTTGTCCCAAATCTAACTGAGTCTACCAGAATATCAGGCGTGAAAACAAACTACAGGAAGCTGGGAGTTCGTTCAAAAGGCCAAATATATTATAGAGAGCTGTGAGCGCCGCTAGATAAAAAGTTAGTTGAACTAAACTTTAAGCACTAATCATAAACATTGTTACACTAATGCTAAAGCACTAACTTCAGTTCAAATTAAATCAACAATTCAGCACCAAATTACTTTTAAACTTATAGTTTGAATGTTCTATAATGCCTTTAGATATCAATATTATTATATATTTATCTCTTGTTCTTTACTTCACTGCACATTTTTTGATTGAAATAAAGTTTCAAAATAAGAGCATCAAAACCCAAAACTTCTTTCAAGTGAAAGTTTACAAAACAGTCAAGTAAATTAATGCTTTAGGATTTATCTGTAACAACTGATTTAGGTGAAGCTAACATTTTTTAAGTTAGCTAAAGCACAAAAAAAATTGCAAATGCTGCTTTTGTTTCAATAGCTTGTGCAGCTCTACAAATGAACTTGCCTCAGTTTGGTGACTATAGCCGACCTGAAACAGGAAAAGTTTTTACTTATTCCTCTGGCAGGGGGGAAAATAAAAAGTCATGCATGTTTTTATCTGGTGTGTGTAAACATCGGATTTCAGAGGCTGCTGACTTCTGCCCTCCTTGTCTGAGTTTTAGTGAAGAAATGAGACGAACCAGAGGGCGGAAGCCGTCATAGACACTCTGAGGGGGGGTCATGATGCATTGGTGCATCGTTGTCGTGGTTACACACAAATAAGCAGCAACACTGGGCGTGCGGTTGGGAGCTGCGAGCCCACATGTTGACACCAGGCTTTGATCAGAGCGCTGGATGTCGATCTGAGTCACTCTGAAACGTGGCGCTCCAGCGACTCCAGTTGCTGTCGGTTACCGTTCAGAAGCCGTGAGGACAAAGTCAAACGCTTGCTGCTTGGTTGGAGCATAAAAAGCAATAAAATGAGCAGTAATTCTGCTTTCTTGCATGTAAATCCACACATGATGCATGTTATAAAAGATAAGCTTTAACTTTTTTTACAACTCAGAAAGAGGATTGTTTTCAGCTTCACCTTCTCTGCCGGTAACCATCAAATTATATTTTAAACTGTAGATAATAAAGTTATCGCTGCACATTTACATGAAGGTTCCTGCCTACGAAGTCCAGCCGTCATAAAGTTGCCATGAATTTGTTCATTGCCTTTAAAAAGCTGTCATGGTAGTCAGACATACCTGGGAACTTTGAGATTAATCTAAAAAATAAAAATTCTAGAAAACGTCTCAGAAATTTCTGAGTTTAAAAAGTGAACAAATCGATAGAAAAAAATCTTAGGAATTTTGATATTAATGCCAGAAATTTAAGAATAAAAATGTGCAATTTCAGAGTTTCCGAAGTTCTTTTTGAAAATTTCAGGACATTTTTTCTAGAATTGTTTTTACTTCAAATTCAGAAAAAAAAATTATTGCAAATTTCTGAGATTTTTTGGTCTTCAGTGGCCCTAATACACCATCATTTGAGCAAGCTGTTTTTAAAAATTTAACAAATGATTCACCTCTGAGTTTTGATATCAGACAAAGATAACCTGAGTAATTACTTACTTTGACCTTCCAAGTCTGTTTTTATTCACGGTGAGTTTGAAGACCAGGCCGCTCTGTTTGTGTTGGTAGTTTCTGTGAGTCAGACGTCCGTTTGCATCTCAGTTAAGATTGTTATGACTAAAACTGGCCTTCCTGCTAATAGAGCTGCAGCTATGTAAACTAAATGGAGCAAGAATAACTGAGTCAACAGTGCTGTGATAAACTCTGCTGCTGCAGCAGAGACCTTCTGACGGACTTGGTGACGCCTGCTGACCTGCTCCTGGAAACTGTTGCTTCTAACTAAATGTTAAGATGGTTGTTAGAATAATGATTTTTTTTTTAATACAAGAAAAGAAAGGAAGTTTCTGTTATAGTTTCTGAGTTCTAAACCTTTTAATTCATCTATTAAAAGTGGATTTGGATGGATGGATGGATGGATGGATGGATGGATGGATGGATGGATGGATAATGCAATAGGAAGACATTTTAAATACCTAAAATAAATAAACAAAACAGAAACAAATGAAATCAATTATGTAAACAAAATTGTCCTTTAAAAAACGGTTTAGTTGAGACCAAAGCACCAAACTGAAAACTTTTTTATCCTCCAGATTTTTGTAAAAAATAACAATAAATTATGCAAATTAATTATTGATTTCATTTTAATTTATCATGCGATTAACTGATTTATTGCTTATCGGCCTACTTTAGATCTGGTCCTGGTAACCATGACGACAGAAGGAAACCAGCATCTAATATTTTTGAAAGTAGATTTTAATTTAAAAGTTGTCGTTTTGTTCCAATTTATTCCTGAATTGTGGTCGGGGGGCAGCACAACATCAGTCCGGGGTCCTCAAATCGCCCCCGACCCCCAGTTTGAACACCCTTTCTCCAAATGTTAAAGGAACATTCATATTCAACTCTGTCGTCTTTCTGCCTCTGCAGGAGTTTTCAGAAGGCCAAGACCTCGACAGACTGGAAGAAGAAGAAGAGCAGAAGCAGACGTCAGAATCTCAGATCAGACTGATGAACAGCGGCATGGCATCCATACCAGAGTACTACGCCGGGAAGAGCGTTTTGATCACGGGAGCCACCGGCTTCATGGGGAAGGTGCTGGTGGAGAAGCTGCTGCGGAGCTGCCCTGACGTCAAAGCCCTCTACATCCTGGTCAGACCCAAAGCCGGCCAGTCCATGAAGCAGCGAGTCAGCGACATGATGAAGTGCAAGGTAACCGAGTCTCTAGATGCAGCAGCGTTTGGGTCAGTGCTGATGTCTCTTCTCTGCTAACCGGCGGGATCCTCCTAAACGTTTATATCAACCTTGATGTCTGGGAGTCTTAGTTTGAGCTTCTCGGTTTGTTTTTGGCTTTTGGTTTAACAGAGACTGATTTTTGGATTCAGTGTTTGAAGCTTATTGCATTATTTTTTATTTCCTAAGCAACTAAAATCATAGAACAAGAAACTATGTTTAGTTCTCTCTTGTGCTTTTCTGATAAACCACAGTTTAAAGATCATAATTTTCCAGCCTAATAGAAGGTAAGGAGGAATATTTAGAGCATTGGTGACCTAACAAACCGGCACCTTGTCCTGAAAATTAAAAGCAAGAACTGGATATAAAAAAACGTTAAAAGTTTGGCAGCATTCAGGAAACATTGCAACTTCTGCTCAGCATTCTTACTCTATGCACAGGAGCTCCAGTTGTCCCATTCCTCTCAAAAACTGTTAAACATTGTTTTATATTTGTGGGCAAATTAGATTGTGTAAAATATAGCAATAATGAATGGAAACGGGTAAATATCTCACTCACTGCACTACAGTAACGGACATTATTCTAAGAATAATGACTTTGTCACACCAGTCAGTTCCCATTAAACCTCCTGCAGTTAATTTTCTCTCAGCATTTTCTTTGGCTTTATGCCAATGCTACACATACGAGATGCCAAATTACTGTCATTTAATTGGCTCAGACACAAGGAAAATAAAATAGTCGCTAATTGTTGCTGTCAAACATGCAGGAGAAACGTTTGAAGAGTTCAGTACGACGGTCTGGCTGCTGACTGTATGCAGTCATTATGCTAGCTTATCCTATTTTTGTGTCTTCATCAGTTTGGATCATTTCTTCTCCGAAAACAACGTTTCTAATTACTTCATAATCCTGATGGGAAAGTGAGATAAGCAGGCAGAAGTTTCGATGTTTCGACACGCTCAACTGATTTACATTCAGGAAACTGCCTCACCTTTCTGGGATGTTTTGGGAAAGTAGTTTTTAAATCTTTATCGTTATCACAATAATACCACAAATATCATGATAAGATACTAAGTCCACATCGCCTACCTGTACACTAAAGCACTTTTTGTGTAAAAAAACACACATTTTAAAGTCACTTATCTGTGTTGAAAAACAACAAAAGCATATTAAGGCTGATATAGATGAAAAATTTAGTAATTTTTGACAAAAAATTTGAGAAAATCTCAGAAATTTTCTAGAAAGAAAAAAAAACAAAGAAATTTCTGAGCTCCAAAAATTTAAAATTTGCAAGAAAAAAATCTGAAATTTTTTGATTAATCTCAGAAGTTTTCTAGAAAAAAACTAAAATTTTCAAATTTTGAAAGTTTTTTTTCTAGAACATTTTCAACTTTTCAAATTAAGAAATCTAGAAAATTTCTGAAATGAAACTCAAAATGTTTTATTTTTTTTTTTTTCTAATTTTTTTCTATCTTCATTTACCTTAAAAAACAGTTTAACGGTTATTTTAGGGTTTGCTCTTTAAATCTTCAACTCACCTATCAGATTTAGACGATCCTTATTCAAATTTGCTCTGTCGGCTGATCAAAGGCAGAGCAGCTGAATGTTTGCATAGCAACAGAAATTTGCCTACATATTCCTGCAGCAGCTTTGATGGACACAGTGAATAAAGCTCAACAACCCCAGAAGAGCCCAAAAGTTCATATTTGAGCTGGAGCAGAAATGGATCATGACTGGTAACAAAGGGTTAACCAAACCGGGGCTGATTGAAATGACAGAAGCAAAGATGGCAGCAGAGGAAGTCAGACGCAGCTCCAAACAGCTGCCATCAGGCTGGGCAGCAAAGCATGACTCAGCAGAAACCTCCAAACTCCGCTGGACGTAATGAGGAGCGAAGGATTGACGGTGTGTGTGTACTGATGTGCTCACAAACAGCTGCTGCTCGCTCCGACTGCTGCTGGCCTCAAACTGTCAGCGCACCTAAGAAAACGACACGTTCTCTTTAATCCTCTTTGTCTCCCTGTGATAGCATCTGTTTTTACTACTCTCATTGGGATTAGACCTCGCTCCTCCTGCTGCTGCTGCTGCTGCTGCTGCATTCATTACTCTGCTCACCGCTGCACCAGCAGCAGGGCGGCGCTTGGAGAATTTGCTCTTAATTTAGCTAAAAACGTGGCTTTTCTGCTGCTGTTCATGATGAACACAAAGCCTAAACAGTCGTACGAAGAGAAAGAACAGTTCTGATCAGGACTCCATTGGGGCTGAAACGATTAATCAGATTAATCGATTATAAAACTGATCGACAACTAATTTAGCAATCGATTAATCGTTAACTGTACAGACGCACCAAAAGATACATACTTAAGCCTAACTGTACAAAAAATGTATACATTTTGCATTTAAAATAAAAATACAACTTTTGTCTGTAAAAATGTTCTCCTCAAATTGATTCAAATTCTATAAGATAAAAAAACATTTTAAATATTGGATACCTATGGAATGATCATTAACAAACTAAATTGCTGTTTTATTTCAATTTAGGCAATAAAATGTTTTTTTTCTTATAAGGGAATTGAATTGTTTATTCTCATATTTTAATGTATTTCTAATCTTTTAGTGGTTAAATTAAAAAGCTTAAGAATGTAGCCATTTTTTAATCCGTTTAATCGGTTAATCACATGAATAATTGATTACTAGGACATGATTATTTGTGGCGCTAGTGTTTGAATTTATTTTTTACGGCTGGGAATTTTTACATGTAGTTTTAAAACTGTATCAGCTGAGGAATTGGGTGAATAAACTTTCTAAATGCACTTAAGAGACGAACTGAAAAGCAGGCAACCAAACACAGAACCTTGCGTTACTCCAAAGTTAGAATAGTTTGGACCTTGAGGGGAAAATGATTTCTAATCAATTAGGTTTATTGGTATGTTGTGCACAATGCAGAGAGCTTGTAAGACAATCGGTAATGAAGCAGTTTAATGAAAAACTCTACCAGTCGACACACAGGTCACGATAATAAATATGGCCATTAAAATAACACTACGGAATAAGAAATGCATGAAAAAAAACCTTAAAATGTGCATAACTTATGATCAATGTTGATGTTTCTGGCTTTCTAAGAGCCACTTTTTAAGATGCTTAGAGGATCTAAAGACCCCAAAGTTGAACTGGTGACCCAAAGCAGCTAACTACTGGTTTATCATTTTATTCTGGAGGGAAAAAAGTTTATACTCTCATTTCTTGGAAGCCTTTTATAGATCTAAAATCTGTTTATTTTTGTCTTTTGGCTTTATTTCTCCATCTCTGCAGTGTTTTGTGTAAAAATCCAGGCTCCCTCAGACTCTCTCTGCATTCAGAAGAACCGATATCATTAAATTTCCAAGAAGGAGCCTTGGGTACTAATTGGTATTCAAGCGAGTCCTCGGGTCAGTATTATTCTTTTCCGAATCGGGATAATTCATGAGGGAGGACTGTGGTATTGTCTCTCAAGTGGCCTCTCATCCTTCAAGCCAGGCCAGTGTCTTCCTTACAACCTGTTGCTAGGTAACGACCCGGAGATCCGGCCCGCGGCACTTTTTCAAACGATGCAATCAGGGGCCACTGCCCCCGGCAGGGAAAGGACAAACCAATACGAATCTCATTGTGTCTGCTCCGACATTGACATTTAGACTGTTGGGGGGGGTTTTCCTTTCTTTTCCGCAGCAGCCAGGTCGGTTTGATCCGGTAGAAAATGTTTGGCTGTAAGAATCGGTCGGTCCAAAGAGGTGGGAGAGGGAATGTTTTTGGTAGGAACAAGGATCTCCTGGAATGCGGCCTACAGAGGAGGAATATTTTCCTTTTTCTTTGGGTCATTATGCTGGTTAACGCGCTCTACCAGTGGATAATGAGCGTTATTACTGATTATATAGTTCACTTTTGTTAAGTCAGGTTTATTTGTATGGCACATTGAAGCAGCAAGGAAGCTTAAAGTAACAGTAACCAATTACTAAACAGGCTTTAACATCACGTTTTGGTCAATGTTCCAGTTATTATTAACTTCAGTGTTTCAGACGTTTGTTCCAGATTTGTAGTGCGTAGAAACTGAATGCTGCTTCTCCATGTTTGGTTCTGGTTCTGAATGCAGAGCAGACCAGAACCAGAAGACCTGAGAAGTCTGGAAGGTTGATACAGCAATGTGTTTTGGTGCAGAGCCATTCAGTGATTTATAAACCAGTTTTAAAGTGAGCTACAGTATAAGGGCTTTAGAACTGGGGTCACGTTCTTTATCTTCCTAGTTTTAGTCAGAACGCCAGCAGCAGTGTTCTGGATCTGATTGACTTTTTTTTAAGTAAAAACACATGGATGAGTCTCTATATTTTACTGAAATATTACTCTTTTAATCCTAAAAATGCTCGTCAGGTGACAGAAGACCGACTTTGTTACTGTCTTTATGTGTCTTTGGATGTTCAGACTCAGATTTCTGGCCTGATCAATAGTTCCTTGCTGTAAAAACTGAAACTCTTGATCATTCCTCTTTAGGTCCAAAGAGGAACGATCAGCTGGAGAAGGTTATGGCCCATTTCTCCACTCTATCGGTGAAGTCGGACGGTTTTTTCTCTTTTCCCTTCTTCCCCACCTTCGCTTGTTTCTGTGCTACTTTTTTGGAGCCTCTCTTTGCACATCCTCCGAATCTACAAATTATGGATCTGGATAACTGGTCTCTCAATACACAGGAGAGCCCAATAAATCATCAAGGATTTATTTGGTCTCATGATAACAGGACTTCTGCTGCTTGGAGCTTGCGGATGCCTCGAATTTGTGACGGACTGAGTTGAACTAGTGAACAGTCGGACTGATGCTGTGAGACGGAGGCACAAGTTGGATGTGATTCTTTGGACTCTAAAACTGACTAGCCGGATGGAATCGATCCTGGAGAAGTTGCTAGTTTTCGGCCCAATGGGAACGACCTGTAGACTTTAAGTCTGCCCGTTCTACAGACGGTTTGCTTGTTCTGAGTCTGCCGGCCTTGGCTGTTTATCTCAAATCTGCTGGAGTTTATATAAACAAGCCACTCCTTCCTAATGACAACCTTCTATCTTCTCCTTCCTAA